GGGATATGAAAGATTAAATGGTTAAACTGTATATTTATACTGTTAATGCATTACAATTTACATTTAAAACAGACTATGTTGTGCGAACTCTTATGGTTTACTGGTACTACTTTGCCAGACTAGCTTTCCCTGAGGCAGCCCAACCTGCCTTTGCACACCACCTGCCCCTTCCACCAGCAATTTGTGTTGCATAAATCAAAATACTAGAGCCAGGGTGGGGGAGGAGGTGATGGAACTGAGCTGAACCAGTCTTCTCCCTGGAGGAGGAGAGGTGGGAAAGGGGAGGCAGGGCAGGGTATGACGGCCAGCAGCAGGAGCGCCGCTTGATGCCCGTGTTTGCCTCGCTCTGTGGCAAGCAGAGCAGATGCTGGCTACTCCATAGGTACGTGTTATTGGTTAAATGTTTAACCAATATAATTAGAAGAGTTTAAACGACTAATTTTTTTAACAATATGTACATCCGTAATTGAAATACATATTTCGTGTTCAAAATAAAGCAAATGAAAAAGCCTGAAGCTTAGTTTTGGTTTACTTTTACTCTTATTATAAAGTGAATGTGCAATAATTTATATTGTTAATCAATAAGAGACAGTCTTGAAAGAGCACCTACAACAGGTGAAGAGTCGAGAGTTTAGAGAATCAGCTTCACAAGAATAATACTATTAATTGAGCAAACAAACATTTCCAAACTCTACATGCATTTTGTTAATTATTTAAATAGAACACACAAAAAAATATTTGCATCAATTACCCAAAACATTCAACCATCCAAAAAATTGGACTAAAATATTTCTAAAATTGAAAAAAACATTTAGTTTACCTCAAAATAAACATTGAAACCATCTTCAATAAATCTAAAACAACAACACTAAGAAATAATGCTATATAATAAAAGAACATGCATAAAATTTTATGGACTGTTTGGGTAACAGTGTCCTTCATCATATATTCTTTGTTCCTTTCTACCACATCAGCACATCAGTTTAACAGAGAAACAGATTCTGAATAAATACTTTAGTTGTCAATCTACCCTAGATTCCCCCAAATTTTAGAAATGGTGGCTCACCCAATTTTTCACAATCATTTAACCTAGAGCCTTCATCTCCCATTAGAAGAATTTGTCACTATCTTCCACAAAACTATCCATCTCTCTGAACTGCCCTTTAACCATAACTGAGCAGCAACTAACACTTAACAGATGCTATGTTATTAGGGACCTACTGAATTCAAGGCGGAAGTAGAGTGCACGGCGGCTCCTTTAATCTTCCATATTGTCCTGTGTGCACCTTGCCCCTTGCTCTTGCCTCCTCCCCCACTGCTGATTAGCAGAGATGCTAAAACCAAAGTTTTAAACATGGTGCCATTTTTGCCTCCTAACCAGTTAGCAGCAAACTGAAGGGCTGTCAGGGGCCCACATTTTTGCCTCAGCCAATCAGTGGTGGGAAGCAAAAACAGCGTCCTATTTAAAAACAGTTTTTGCCTCCCCATTGATCAGGAGTAAGCCGCAAGTGGGGTCCCTCCACCAAACAGCAAGGCAGGCGGGGGGGAGGGGGTGGTATGGGAGAACTTGCAAGATTAAAGGAGCCACAGCACCCCCACTTCCACCATGAATTTGGTAGGTTCCTAGTTAGGAGATTTAGCAATAGCTGCCAGTATAATAATCAATATGATGATTCAAGTGAATGTTATGTTAAGTCTGAGATGTCCAGCTGGTTGCCTGTGAAGACTTAATGCAAGGCCCTTGGGCTCCTGCCTGGCTGCTGGCCCATATTGCACCAGCTGCAATAGCAGCCAGTCTCTAGCTCCCTTTCCTTCTTCTGGCTGCCACTTCCTGTGTTCACCCCAGGGGGTTAGGGCAGTGTTAGCAGAGCAGGAAACTGAGGGTGAGTCTGCAACCACATGAAGGGAGAAGAAGAGGGGTTTGCCTCAATGATCGTGTAGCCGTCAGGGGGCATGCGTTGCAGTGATGGGATGGTCTGCATAATATTGTGCTGCAATGGTCGGGGATGGAAGGAACAGTATCCATGCAGTATGCCTGGTGTGGCCCCTGGTGGCTTTAAAGTTCAACAGCCTTGTATTGAGTCATTGGTACTTGAATTTTTGTATTGCTCACTTTTTCAAAGTTTTTTTTGTACATCATTCTGAACAAGGTAACTCTATGTAGAGATTTCATTCTGTTTTAATAGTAAAATTCTAATTGCTTGCACTAACCTGGGTCAACCCACTAAGTAGGTTCTCTGGTCACAATATAGTTGACTCAAATGTACATTCCATTAAAGGGCTAACATGCTTAATTTTTAAAAGCATCAGTTTTTTCCTCCTGGAAATTTAAACGCTTGTACAATATTTCAAAACTTTCCTAGAATTAATGACCAGGAATTTGGGAAGGCTTGAGTAGATTTGCAAAACTTCTAACAATTTGTGAATTGTAATCAGTGAATACTGTGTGATAACAGCAAGGGAAATTTCTTCTTTGACTCCTACAAAATTTGTATTACAGTTCTCAGTCTTTTAGCCAAAAAAAGAAGAAAAAAAATCCCTGGGTTCTAGGGTGGTCAAATCTCACATGGCAGTTCTTGCAAATACTGCTTATGGAATTTTTGTGTGATCCAAAGTCATTTGGGGAGCCCAAAATATGTTATAATATTATACTGAATACAATGACACACACACTTTATACATTATGCTGCAACAGCATATCACTTTGAAAACATAATTTGAACTAGACAGCAAGGTAACTGTAGCTAGAAGTCACTTTGGATTTTGTTAACAGAACCAAGGACTTAGGAAATCTGTCAAGCTTACAGGCTACAGAATTAAACACTATCCATATTATAGCAGAGTCCTCCTTTTAGGGGTGGTCATCCCGCCCCTAGAGTACCCCCCTCTTCGCCATCAGCCTCACCGCCTCTCAGACCAAACTCCCCTTGCTGTGCCTGCCACACCTTGTTGGTAGTAACCAAGGATCCAGGTTTTTTGTTTGCTGCTAAAAATCACGATTTTCCCCTTTAATGGAGAAAAATGTGGGAAAACTCAGGTTTCCCCTTCCAGGTTGGCAGGGTTCTAGCTTGCAAGGGGCTGCCATGTGTACATGCATGTGCACATATGTACATGGTAGCTAGGCAGGGTGGTGGTGACCAGCTCCCTCAGCTCCGTCCAGGTAAGTCTACGGGGGTGGGGAGCACAGATGATGTGGCAGAGTTGCAGGGGAGCACAGGTGATGCAGCAGGGGGCACGGGGGACATGCTCCTCCCCAAGATTTCTGCACCTACTGTAGGGCACGGACTGCAGCTCTGGGCAGGAGCTGACTCCATGACCCAGTGGGCGGGATCTGGCATGGCTGCCAGAATGAGGCGTGGCAGAGGCAAGGAGTTATGCTCCCTAGTGCTGCTGGATAGGCAGGAGGGCGCCTCTTCATGGTGGTGTGTTGCTCCCTCTGCACCTGGTCCCGGCTGCTGGGCCATGGAGGTGGCTCCTACCCTGAGATGATTTGGCTAGGCTGTAGACCTATGCCCTGATGTGGGCACAGAAATCTGGGGGGAGTACATGCCCTCTGCTGCAGTGTCTGTGCCCACACACCCCAATTCCCCATGCACCCAACCCCTTTCTCACACGCTGGGGGGCCAGGGCCTGGGGGTAGAGGGCAGCAGATTGGGAGTGAGAGGCACCAGCAGGGATGGGGGAGTTGTGGGTCAGGAGTGAGTGATACTGGTAGGGCCAGGGGAATGTGGATTGGGAATGAGGGGCACCAGCAGGGCCCAGAGGCTGTGGGTTGGGAGTGAGGGGAAACAGCAGGGGCAGGGGCAGAGCACCAGCATATCAGGGCTGCTCAGTGCTACAAAGCAGTGGGGAGGGACAGCTGTAGCTGGACCTGTGTCCTGGTGAGTGAAGGGGGCAGGGGGAGCTCTGATTTTCCATGATTAAAAAAATCAAAATCAAAAGCCAATATATATAGGTATTTAGAATTTACTTTATGATAAGTAAAGGAACTGTTGGCTTGCAAACTGCTTTAAAATTGTAAATATATCAATAAAACATTGTGTTCAACTGTTACCTCTATATCTATATACTGTATATTGATATACATGTATAGATATAGAGATATCAGCGAAAGAGAGAAAAAGAAAGAGAGATCTCTTTCCCTAGGTATAAATATAGATATATAGTTGTGGAAAAATGCAGATTTTGGGATTGTAAAGCAGAAAATTTGGGATTTTTATTGGAGGAGTTGAGATTTTTTTATAGACAGAGAAACTCAGGATCCCTGGTAATAACCCAGATCTTGCCTTAGAAGCTAACTGCGTGGCTCCATCCACCCCTACACCACATGCCATGTCTCACAGATGTTATCACTCGCTGAAATTCGTTCAACACACTTGGGCCCTCTGGTCCCACATTCAGCCTCTCTCTATTCCCAGGCTTCTGATCCTCTCTGCCCTGTTCCTGGGCTCTGAGCTTGCTTCCAGGGCCAGATGGGACCTTCTCAACCCCATAATCCCTTCCACAAACTTCTAGATGTTATTCAGTGCTGCTTACACTAGCTCAGATGTTCCGGCAGAAGCCCTGCTACCCAGAGCTCTCCACTGCAGCCCTGGTGCCTGGAGCTCCTCTTCCTGTGGTTCCTGGGCCTAGCCTACATGACCAGCTCAAGTTCCGGGCCTATATAGCTCAAGGCCAGCCTCCTTCTAGTCAGATGACTCCCTAATCATCCCCATTTACCACTTCCAGGCTGCTTCTCAGGCAGCTGCACTCACCTAAAGTAACAGGCGCACCATGCACTCTGTCACAATATATATATATGTAACTGGAAAAATTAAATTGTTATTTCTGCATTTGCTTGTGTAAATGAATGCAGAAGGTCCATTCAATTTACTAAAATTAAAACTAGTATAACACTTTATGATAGTTTTTTTTTACTTTCAGGATTTACGCCAGCATCGGTTTAAAAGTATTAGTATATGAACATACACTTAGTATGCATGTACTCCTTTGGAACTTACCATAGTATCAGATGTTGATTGAGAATGTAGAGATTGGCTCTGACTGGCTGGAACTCTCCAAAGATTAACTAAATCATCAAAGTCTATAGAAAGAGGAAAGAGACTAAGTATTCAAATATTCAACATTTTTGGATTGGCAAGGGAAGGTACAAAAAAGAATGCGAGTAGAATCAAAGAGTCATAACGGAAGTTTACGTTTTCACTAAAACAGTTGCATGCATTATAAAACTCATTTTGCAGATCACAAAGCTATAAATGCAGGGACTGCATCAGCCAGCACACCCTGAGACTAAAGAGAGGCTGCAGTAAAAAACAGTATACAGCAAAAGTATATAGCAGGTTAGGATAACTATTCATCTGAAACTCCGGCTGCGTAAAGTTTAATCAACTTAAGTGATCAGATACAAGTTTAATAACAATATGATAAAAATCTACACACAGAAAACAAATATAATGAACAAGTAGAGGTCCCTGCCTCAAAGACCTTATAATTTAATTTTAGTTTTTACCATATTTTAACGGCACAATTGGTAGCAACAGAGTAAGCACAATGTAAGGCCATTGTTTTAATGCTAAGAATGAAATGTGCCACACATACCACATTGTATGGCATAGGAACCCTTCAGAGTGGGAAGGGCTGCATCAGTCTTTACACTTCATAATTTTGAGCCCTAGCTAATTGTTAAGACATTTTAATTTTTTTTCTTAATAGAAAGGTGCCAGTAGGTAACCATCCTAGACTAATATTATTTTATTATTATTTTTATATATTATATATTATTATATACTATCAAAGACTGATATCAGAATATAGATACATGGGAAATGGCAGTGCCATCATAAAGCCATAGGCATCAAGAAGTATTCACATCACTTTCTATGCTCTTGGTAAAAGAGAATGAGGGTGCATAGCGTGTGGCCCACAAAGGTCACTACTAGTCAAAAAACTCTGATCCTGAGCACATGAACATGCACAAAAAAAGTGAAAAGTCTACATGAACTCTTGACATACCTTCCAATGACATTTCATAGCATGTCTTAAGAGTGTCAGTCTGTTAACGTTATTTATCACAAGTGAAATGAGATTCTGGATAGCCTTCCAATAGGAATAGTGGAGCCAAAAAACTAAATAGGTTTAAGTTGGAACTTGATCAGTTTATCACCAGGATTACTGACAGCTGCCTGAAATAGCAAGAGACTGGACTCTATGACACAGAACTTCTTTCCTATTTATGTGCCTCAGATATCTTAGGATTGCAATGCTGTGAAGACAACTTTGCTTTTAAAAGCCGCTCATATTAATGACTGCCTGAACTTCCTCACTTTTACTGTGATAACCCTCTTACAATTTCTAATTAGTTTAACTTCCCCCACCAATATTTTGCATCAAATGAACCAGATGATGTAATAGATCTTTTAAATCAGTAACCCCTAAAAAAACATACAAATGCAAGGTTTACAATTGTCCACAGAGTATAGACTAGGTAAACTATGATTTTACATTTTTAAGAAAACTGTGTAACATCACGGAGCTGATGCTTTAAGCTTTCATTCAACTAACAATGACAATTTGCAATGATTTTCAAAAAAGAAAAACTTAGGGATAAATGAATTCTAAACTAGAAGAATGTTTGTCCTAAAAACAATGTATTGAAATTGTCACTTACCACTTATGCAACTTCTTCCAGCTATGAGGCCGTCTCCAAGGGAACAATTTAAATCAAATATGTAGCGCCCAAGGTAACAGTTCTTCACCATCTGCTTCAAATGTTCATAGAAGTGGCAATGGTATAATAGAGCTTGAAGGGCAGGTTTTCCTATCTGAGATACGCCGGACTCTTCATCATGTACACAAGGACCCTGAGGAAACAAGGTTCATATACATACATACATACATACATACATACATACATACATCTCTTAAACAGGAATCTATATTACAGAACAAACTGCCCCTAGGAAAATAAAGTAAGAACCTTTCCTATAAATTTAACCAAAGGAAGAACAGTATATACATTATATTTAAAATTGACAACCTTATCATATCAGTACATTCAGTCATAATGAGATGCATTGATTTTTAAATATTAATTAATAATGAAAAGCATTTTGGACACGTTTTTGGAAAAATCACAAGTAATGACTTTTAAAAACAGAAGAAAATAAAATTATTCTAAATTAAAAGTAACTCTTGGTTATAACCAGTATTTTAGCACTACTTTTCCATCCTTTCTGACTGGTAGTACCAATGCAGAACGTTAATTATTTTCACTATTTCCCTTTTACTCCAATTAAAGAACATGCAGTTCTTTGACAAGGAATTTTGTGCTTCATGTAAACTGTTAATGAGTTAGTTATAGGGCTGCATTCTATGCTCAGAGGGTGTCAGCAATATGCTTTGGTTGCATCAACCATGACAACTGCATACTCTGGGAATTTTGCAGACATTAAGTATGATGACATTGCGTCAAACTTTTGATATCCAAAACTCTGCCAGTTTAAAAACCCTGTGTCAAGTACTTTATGGCCAGAGGGATGAGTTAAAAGGCACTGGAGTAATTCACTAGTTTTATTCACAGTGTGCACTGACATCAGCAACCTTGAGATAACATAATATGTTGTAGTCCAGTAACATTAAGTTACATAGGCTGATTTTACTAATGGCTAAAGTTTGTTATGTTGTTTTCAAAAGGGGGTAGGGGGAGGAAAGAGAGTAGAAAGCTCTTCATTGTTATCACGATGATATATTGCATTGTTGTCACTGCAGTTAACATACTCCATTCCAAAATTTGGTCTCCAAACACTCAGGCGTGGCTGGTGAACTCCAAGTGGTGGGGCAGTGAAGCGTCCCACAGAAGCAGCAGGGGGGGTTTTATAGCCATCTGGCACTGGGGGGGTGGGGGGAAAAGGGGTTTGCAGCTGGCCAGG